GCCTGCGCGGTCGGGACGCGGAGTGGCGGTGTGTGGGACCCCGGCCACGGCGGCCCCGTGCCTCCCGAGCTCAGGGGAGCCAGGTAGGGGTTGTGCTTGTCTGCGGCTGTGGCGGGGGGCTGAAGAGGTGGTTCCCAGCCCTGCAAGCCGGGCAGTGCTGGGCTGGGGCTGGGGCTGGCAGCTTGCCTGCGGCTCTCTGGTGGGCCAGGGCTCAAGGTCAGAGCGCTCGCAGCTGCTGGGTTTGCCGGAGTGCTTCGGCAACCAGTGAGGGCTGGTATGCACAAGGACAAGGAGGGTTCTGCCTCAGCAGGCTCTTGCTCCTGTTCCTTCTCTAGAGCCCTAGACCTGGCACTTGGGAACCATTGAGTGGTTGCTGAGCAGGGCATGACTGCATGCAGGTGCTTATCTCGAGGAGGGGAGGAAAGCTAGCTATCAACATCTTGGGACCTGATCACAGGGCAGTCTACTTGCCCTTCTGAGTCAGCTTGATCACTTTACAGAGAACCCATGATCCAGGAGTGTGTGTAGCAGGCTGAGCACTTCTTGCAGGGTTCTCTTCACTGGGTCTTAACCAAGCCAAACTGGGGACATCTTCACAGCTCTGCATCTAATAGCTGAAGCAAATAAAATTGAGCTTCCTCTGAAACAAGCTACCTTTAGCATATGTTACAGTGCTGGTGTTGACTTCTGTTCATAGTGTGATTTAACTGCTAAGTCTCCACTGCCTTTCAGAAGAATTGGGTGTTTGCTTTTTTTATGTTCTAATGTGTGGTTTCCAGCACCCTGCCAAAGGGTGCCAGGCAGGTGGCAATGAGAACCTCTTAGTCCCACTGAAACTAGCTCTTCAGAGATGCTTTGAAAGCAACTGGTTTTATTTCACAGACCTCATGAAGATATAAAGATGTTGCAACAATACCTATATTTATTTGGGTGCTGCTTGTCAGGAGGTTTTGCTACCTTAGTTCCTTGAAGGTTTGGGGCTGTGTTGATAGGGTAAAGGTGAAGTTACTGTAGCTGTCAGTCTTTAGGGGCAGGGGAGAAAGGTGGGGAATTGCTGCACATTCTTCCAGTGGCACAAAACAGATATGAAAAAGCTGCCCGCCTGTTCAGGTAGGCGGTCTGTTCTGAGAGAAGATTGCAGCACAAAGTGTGGCTTTGAGCAGTTGTTGGGACAAGATTTCCTCCCTTGGTTCTTCCATGGATACGCCAGTGTCAGGTCTTTTCCTCAGCAGGCTGCTGTGAAGCTCTCTGTCTTGTAGATCATCACAAAATGGAGCGAACTCTGGGGGAAAAAAAAAATCAGCCTTCTCTGTACTGTGAGCCCTGGTTCCAGCGTGTGCCCCTGGGAGGGGGTGTGTTCCTGAAATAGTCAGTTGAGGGGGAGGGAATGGCTGGCTCTGAGTAGCCTGACAAGTGCTTCCTTGATTCTGAAGGGCTTCAGTGCTTGTGTTTTGTCCTGAATAAGGAAGCTGGGTGTTCTTGTGATGCCTCCTTCTCAGGGGACTTGGTATTTTAAACGCAGCTTCAGGTTTCAATGACATGTTGAAATACTACCTGTTTCCAAAGCAACCTGCAAATTAACTACTACTCTTCATTACAGACCAACCTCCCAATCTTCAAATTGAAGGAGTCGTGTGTGAGGAGACGATACAGTGACTTTGAGTGGCTGAAGAATGAGCTGGAACGAGACAGTAAGGTAAGGCCTGGCTCAGACCTGCCTGTTCCTGAAACCAGGACATATGGGAACAGTTGTAGTGATAATCTTGAGCTGCTCAGAAGAGAGGCTGTGTTGGTGGGCAGCTGTTGGGGCTTGATCTCTATCCACGTAACGGGACTGGTGGGACTGGAGGTGTGTGTCAGGTGGCAAAGGGTACCTGCTTGCAGGTGGCCATTCTGCTGATGGGGTGACTCTGTGCTTTCAGATTGTAGTGCCACCGCTGCCTGGAAAAGCTTTGAAACGACAGCTTCCCTTCCGAGGAGATGAAGGCATCTTTGAGGAGTCCTTCATTGAGGAGCGGAGACAGGGACTAGAACAGTTTATTAACAAGTAAGCTTGATGTCCTGGGTTCGTTGTGTGCTGCCTTTCTGGCTGCCTCTGGTAGAAGAGGGCTGTGGGTTGACCGTGAAGGAGTCTTAATCTGCTGCACACAGGTGCTGTGCTAAAGGATGCTGCCTGCAGCCGGGCAATGAAACATGGTTCTGAAGCAAATCCTGCCTCGAGTGTGGGTTGTGTTCAGCTCTCTCTTCTGAGAGTTGAAGCAAACACCAGCAGAACAGCTGTACTGCAGAGGCCCACTGACAGGGTAGCGTTGGTTCAGGGTGCTCATGCCCTGCTGCAGGGCATGGTGTGGGAGGGAACACTGTGCCCAAGCACCTCTGGCTGGCCCGGTTGCACACTGATCTGAGCCTGGTGACCTTGGCCTGATCCCGGGGTGGGTGTGCTTGGAGCTGGCTGCCTCTTAGTGGGGAGATCTGTCTTAGTCAACAGAGTGCAGAGGCGTGGGGGTCTTGGCGGCGGCTGCACTAACCTCCACATCTGATTTTCTTCCAGAATTGCTGGACACCCACTGGCACAGAACGAGCGCTGCTTACATATGTTCCTGCAAGAGGAGACTATTGATAGGAATTACGTCCCAGGGAAAGTGCGCCAGTAGGAGCACCTGGCACTGCCTTCCTCCATTCCACCCTCCCTCCTGCAAAAATGACATTTATTTTTACACTAAATCTGTCTTCTCTGAACCAGTTTTCCTCTCTTGAACCTCCCAGTTTGTTCAGTATTTTCCTCTTTTGTAACGGGCAGCAGCTTGTTCTACTGGGCTGTGATCTTGACCTAAAGGTATGAAGATTTATGCAAGTGAGTGTGTTGTCCCGCACCTAGGGGCAGATGTGAATAGGTGTGGAGCAGGAACTTGCTTATGGCGTTATGTTGTAGGAGCTGCCTCTTTCCCTGTACAGGAAGGCATGAGATGACCTTCACTCCCCTGTCTGTGCAGCCCCAAGCATCTCTGCAGGAGACTCTGAAGAATAGCAGTTGTCATGTTGGTCAGTGATCGCATCAGGTATTAGAGTTTTAGTAAGGCTTATCCAAAACAGTGAGTAGGTGCCTGGGTGTGTTGGTCTCTTGTCCACCCCATTCACCCTGCATGAAACCCCCATTCTTCACTGTCTGGAAATGCTGAGACCCAAGACCTCCTCTAACCCTGCTCTCAGCCTCCTGCGTTACAGACCTGTTTGGTGTATTCGTGTTAGTCCCCCTCCTTTCTTATGTGCTGCTGGCAGCTTGAGGGGTTTCCATGCCGTGTGCTCTCATGATGCTCTGCGTGGGCAGTTTGGCGCGTGAAAGCTGGGATAGCCTGGGCTGTAGCAGTGTGTGCTGTGATACCTTGGTCCAGGGTTTAAAATCTGCCACAGCTTGCTCTGCTGTGGGCTGGCGTGGTGTTGTTTCCAGCAGTAGGCTGCTCAGCCGAGCTGTGGTGACTTTATCCCAGGCTGCAGCTGCAGAGGGGAGGAGGCAGGTCTGGCTGAGGAGGGGCAGGAGAGGGCTGCTGGGGGGTGTTGTAGGGTGTGGTGTGATGGCTGCCACAGTGGTGGCTGCCACAGGAGGAGCCCGGCGGTGAGGCCACCTCTCTATAAAGGGACGGCAGAAAATGGTCAGTCCTGGGTTAGACGCTTGCTTACAAAGCAGAAGTTAACAACGGCTTTTTGTGTGTTTTCCCACTCTGCAGTGAGCTAGATAGTTACTTGTGTGGAAGCGAGGACACAGACTAGTCAGGGAAGCGTTCAGAGCTTGAGGGGGACCACGAGGCTGCAGCAGAACTGTCCTTCAGAGGCTCCTCCAGCTGTCACAGCTGTGATGAGTGAGGTTGGGCCTCAGCTTGGAGGCTCCTCAGGTCAAGGCTGGCTGGTTTATAAGCACTTGGTCACTTTGTGGTGCCACAGTTGAGCCTTTCTTGGGTACAGGCCTGCAGTGACTGCCCTCCCATTCCTGCCTGCCAAGCACGTCCCCCAAGGCCTCCCTAATGTCTCCTGGGTTTTTCTGGTGAGGAACTGGTGCTGCTGGGTGAGAGGTGGTTCTTGGGGAGGAGAAGTCGCTGAAACCAGGAGGGAACTGCTCCGGGGGGCCAGCTCGGCCCGGGAAGGGCTGTGGGGCAGCGCGGAGCGGGGCTCAGCCCCTGTCCCCCCGCCCTGCCGGCCCCTGCTTGGGGCGGCCCCTCCTCTTGCCCGTCCCGCTGCGGGGCTGCCGCCCATCCAGCTGTCTCCAGCCTGTCCAGTGTAACGTCCCGGTTCCGTTCGCATTAAACCACTGTGAAGCCAAGTCTCTGCCTCGTCCTGGGGGGTACCGGGGCGGGGAGGGGGCAGGAGCCGGCGGGGGAAGCACCGGGAGGGGGCACGGG